TGAACTTGAATTTTAAGGATTCATTTTGAAATGGCTTCCCTTATTAAAATGTGGTTGTTGAAATATTTTTTAAAACCTAACTCCAAGTTTTAGCTGTCATGAAATGAGGTTCAAGACTTGACTATTAATTGTATCTCCAAAACCTAACATAAATATAGGTATTCTCCTATTAAAAGCAATTATATTCAAGACACTGTGAGATACTAAATGTTGATACCTCTCTTAAGGTTTTAAACATTGATTTTCTATATTGTATAAGAATAGTTCCTTTCACTGAATTCAATCTCATTAGTCTCTTTGCGTAAACTATCTACTATATGGTTTAGCACGCTCATGATTTAGATATAGAGTATGTTTCTCTATCAGAACCTCCTCTACCATGCAATAATCTTATGTATGTCAAACTTTAATTGGGGCATATTGCCTTATTTTTTTCCAAAAAAAATAAAATAAGTGCAGGTATTCTTTTATCCAAGGCAATCTTGTTATGGCATATTATTGGACTAAATATAGACGCTTTTTTCAATTACTCCTCCGGTCTTTAATGTAAGACCCATTTAACTAATTTGATTAGATTAAGGAAGTTAGGTAAATTAGTTAATTATAAGAAATGTGACACATTTTTCCTAAAACACCATAATCGTCTTTCTTAATACCTCATCTCCTTCTTCTACTTAGTTATGGTTGAGGAGTATCTATAGGGGTAATTTAAAGAAAATTGATAAATATAAGAAATAGATCCTATATTTAGGACCAAAACCAACTCAACAATTGGGTCTTATATTAAGGACCGGAGGAGTAGGATTTGAACACTGGTTTGCGAAGTTGCGAGGGATTAACATCTTCCTAATAATACCATTTTCCCTACAAGTATCCGAAATCTAATTAAATTAAATATCCTGAATTTTGGTAATTATCAGGGAAAGGGACTCCGCAACCTGATTGGTGCAAAACAGTCAATAAAATGGGGTCACCTAATTGAAAATGCTTGTTAATCTGAAAAATTAATGTTTTGAAAAATTATTCAAATATGTTGAATTATTCATTAGCTTATAAGAAACAATTCACATGGATTATTCAGATGTCAAATTTATTTGATGTATCTGATGCTTGACTATTGACTTGGTAAATTGATCTGACGTGTTATAATGTTAAATTCCGGACAAGTAATGGGGAAATCTTTTTCTGGGTCAAACAATCATGGCCATTTTTTACGGTCTGGAATCTATAAAGAAGATGATGAGAAGTCGATAAAAAAACAGTAACAATATTTATTTTCCCCCCAGTTTTTTACTTCGTTTATGATAAGAAAATGATACAAGAATGCAATGTTTACTTTGACTTTGTTGGCTTGCTTTTGATTTCTTTTGTCTCCCCCTGTTTAAGGGATAACTAGAATTTATTTTGTTCAAATGCTGGGAAATTATATGTATATTATTTTTCTAATTTAATTAATATACATAATAGAAAACAATAATTTAAATTTGAATATATGTCATATATAAAAAGATATATTTTATATATACTTATAATTATAATTATACAAATATTTTACATGATAATAATAATTATGTTCATTAAAATATCACAAAATATATAACCATTATCTAAAAGATACTCCTCTGGTCTTTAATATAAGATCGATTTAACTAATTTGATTAGATTAAAGAAGTTAGATAAGTTAGTTAATTACAAGAAATATAAAATATTTTTCCTAGAACATCATAATCATTTTTTTTTAATATCCTTCCTTCATCACTTACTTGATTATGGTTGAGGGATTATCATTGGGATAATTTAGAAAAAACTGATAAATATGAGAAATAGGTCTTATATTTAGGACTAAAATTAATTTAACAATTAGGTCCTAAATAAGAACCGGAGGAGTATAATTTTATAAATTATATGATTATTTATTTATAATGATGTTTTTTTTGGGGGGGGGGGGAAGTAATGGAAGGAGCTTTTTTCAAAAAGAAGCAATAGGCCACAACCACACTGGAAGCCCAAGTCTACTTACCACTCTTTTTTGTTTTGGATTTAAGTCCTTTTTTTTTTTTAATCAAGATTTAAGTCTGCCTGCTACTATTAACTGGGAGAAAAGAGTTGGTACCTGCCAAACAAAACGAGAAAATTTGTAACCAAAAGACAAAAAGCAGGAGAAATTGATAGGGATAGAAAAGTTCCGTGTAAAGAAACATAATCGCAGTCATCGTCCGTGGGTTTAGCTGTGAAAACCGCACCCTCTTACCAATAAGAAAAGGGGTTTAATTTCCTATCATGATATTTGGGAAGGCATCCTAAACGCAAGGGTTTCTAGGTAAAATTTGAGGATCTGTGGCAGGTTTGTTCTGCCCAACATATATGCTTTAGGAGGATTTAGATCAAGTACTCCGCCCTTGATTTATGTTGAGCTCCCTGCCTAAAATTTTACTATATATATTAAAAAAAGAAAAGAAAAAAAATGATGATAAATCGATACCTCAAATTTATAAAATAACACATAAGGTGAAAAGAAGAAAAATAAAGATACTCTGCCCAACATATATGCTCTAGGAGGATTTAGATCAAGTACTCCACCCTTGATTTATGTTGAGCTCAAAACCCTGCCTAAAATTTTACTACCTCCGATCCTTAATATAAAACCCTGTTTGACTTTTATTTTGGTCCTAAATATAAGACCTCAATTCACTTTATCTCTCATATTTATACATTTTTTTTTCAAAATAGCCCTTCTACTAATAATAGTTCTAGTCAATACACTTGATTAGCAAGGATATTTTAGGAAATACAACATCTATTTAGGACAAATAATTAACTCAAAGTAGTCAATTGGCTCTTATAATTAGGATCGGAGGTAGTACTATATATATATATAAAGAAAAGAAAAGAAATGTGATGATAAATCGATACCTCAAATTTATAAAATAACACATAAGGTGAAAAGAAGAAAAATAAAGATACTCTTCGTGAATCGTGGTTTGTGTAAATTAGTTTCACAATTAGTTGGGTTCTTCTTCATTATTTACGATAATATTTTTAAAATCATACTACCTCTGGTCCTAACCGGAGGCAGTACTCATTGTTAAACCAATGGTTTAGCGATCCCAATGCGGTTGGACCGTAGTCGAACCAGACTTATGTTATCCAGACTTATGTTAGTTATTGTAGATAAATATAAATAGCAAGAATTAATTTTCAATCAACTAACAACAATAAATTTATAAAAGAAATGTTGAGAATTTTAAAAAATAAAAAAGTGTAATTTAAAAGATAAAAGATAAAAAAAAATATTCCATAAATTTAATATAGACAGCGTAAAATGTAATTTGATATTTTTTTTAATTTTATACAATTTAAATGTACGGAGGCAAACAAACATGTTAATGCTAAACTCAAACCTAGAACTTTATCTGAGCATGTTAACTGTGAACTTTTATTTTCTAAACCCGTACCTGTCCTCCTAATAGCTGGATGCTTCCATGTTCTTTTTGCTACTTCCTCTTATTATAATTTCATCAAAATCTCTTAAGACTGCAATGACAGGTCATCATTTTGGGGGACTAAACTATGAATACTAGACTTCCATCGGACTTAAAGTGTCATTCTTCCCTTCTCTATTTCACATCTGATCTGATTCATTCGAAGCTTGGCATTGCGTTTGGTCTTGCTTCAATTTCCTGTTTTGGATCGAGTCACGGATTGTTGTATTCCCGTAAAGTTCTCTTAGATTTGAAGTTTTAAATTTTTTCAAAGGAAAGAGCTCCAAACATCATTTTTTTTTTCAGAAGAATTATTACGAGCTCCTAAAAAAGAACGTACTTATTAAAAAATTTATAGACAAGTGAGCAGCATGAGCTTGTTTTCATTTTCTATATTAAAACTTTTCATTACATATTATTCAGTTGTTGCAAGACTTTTTAACGGTTATATTCATTTCTTGACGCTTCATAGTAATTCTTTCTCTCTTTGTTTTTGTTCCCTTCACCCCACCATTATATTGCCTCCGTAGCATTTGGACATCATTTTTTTTTGGCTATGTACATGTTCTCCTATTAAAAACAATGCTATTTGAAATACTGTTAAATACTAAATGTAAACATATCTCCTGACAGAAATTTAAATTTTAGTTAACCACATTATAAGAAACTAATCCTTTTTACTCCATTCAACCCTTCTTAGTAAATAGACGTTTTAGCAATGGATCATGTCCAATGAAAAATCAATCCAACAACAATAAACTTCAATCTAAGTCAGTAATTCAATTGCAGACCACAAGAATCCTTCTCATGGAGTTCGTCCATGGTATTGCATTGCCTATCGCGGGGAGTCTTCATGAGGACACCCAGGTCAACATTTATATTTCCATATCAAAATGAAACAAATGCTTAAGAGGGAATACTCTGATATAACAGATTCTAACAACGGGAGCCTAATTGTCAAAAAATAATAAAAACTCAAAGGCTAATTTTAAACTTTCAAATATAAGGAAGATAATGTGCAATGATTGACTCAAAATTCAAGAAAATCAAGCCTATTTTAGCCTTAAATTAAGCGAAGTTCATATCTGTTTTTTTAAATATTAAGCGAAATTGGATGAAACACTCAAACACATGAATCTTAAGACAAAATATCTCTCATCATCTAATTATGTTCCTAAAAGCGCATTACGTCAATAGTTGATCGATTAATCCTACACATAATGAACCATTTGAGAGACTAGCAGAATGAAAGAGGGTATTTGTACAAATGATATCCAAAAGGGTGTGCTTTTACCTTCAAAAGGTAGAATACGTATCACAACAAATCATTGTCTTTGACACGACATTCCATTAGCTGAAATATGGCAACATTTTTCATGACCTCGAGTCCTCAACCTCAACCAAGTAAACCAGCAAGAATGATCCTTTCAACAAAACGAAAGCGGAAACAATCATGCAAGCCTCATACGGGAACAATAGTTTAGTAAACCATTGCAAGATTGTCTAAAATGACTTTAAGCATGCAGTTTCCACCCGTAACATCATTATCCAGAAAGCAGGAACAAAGATGAGTCGAAACCAGATTCCATGTTATCAGCAGCAATTCCAATCCATTTGAATTGAGAAAGGCAATTATACTTTGTCATCTGGAAGTACAAAAGATTCGCCTGATCCGGTTCCTACATTGCAACCGTTCCTTCGACGTTAATAGCAGCTCCTAAGTCTCAACAAGTGTCAGAGAAATTCAGTGCAGGAGCAAAGCTGCCACAAACATCTGAGACTGCCGATTATGGCAAAGGAATTCAAGAAGCTAGTCAACAGAGCTCTATTCATCATCTTCACTCTGGTGGTGCTCTTGATCTTCAAACAAGTCCTCAGGAGGATCATAGACGATCATGCCGGGAAAAAGCTCTAAGAAGTCGTCTTTTACCTTCTCTCTTAGTTCTGGGTAGGGAATAAGTCCCTTCAACATCACCCGAAAAGGTAATGAAAGAGGAGGGTCAGGAGATTGCCTCATTTCTTCATATATGTCCATCGCCTCATTGGGCAAGCCACTATCCAAACAAGCTCTAATGATGTCTCCAAATGTATGCTGATCAAAAAGAACTTCCTCTCTTTTCAAATCTTCCCAAACCCTCTTTATTTCATCCACCCTTTTGTTTCTTGCAAGCATCATGAGCATGTCTCTGTAAAAGAACATGTCTGGCCGGTACCATATTTCTTTGCGCACTACATCATACAACTGTGACATAAAATATTTGTCATTAAAAGGTATACAACCATGTTGCATAACAAAACACTTTAGCGTTAGTGTGTGAAACATTGGGTCGATAGCAAAGAATATGTGACTAAAGTCAAACAAACAACAAATTAGTTTTTAACGGTAAAAACAAATTCTGGCACCTCTAATTCAAAAGGGTAGACAAATTTTGGCATTTCTAGTTCAACAAATTAGGGGAATTACCCATAAATTTTTCCTCCAAGGTGGCCCAAAAACTGGGAATCAACTCTAACTGAAACAACTACTCTGTTCGCTTCAAGAAAGAAGCCAAAAGCATGGTCACTTGTTGAAACTTCCAAACAATATATAATCAAGGTCAGGCAATAAGCTATAGAAAACTACACTATCCTTTCGTTCTCTCTAATGCTAGACAGCAGCAGCAGCAGCAAGCACTGGAGTTTGAGATTGCAGCTTAGGCTCTAAAGTTTTGAAATAGGACTACTTAAAAGAGAAAAGAAATATAGTCAATAAAACATAAAAGCAGAGACAAGAAAATATTGTTCTGCTTTTTTCCTTTTTAATAGCCAATTCAATTAAAACAAAAAAAGGGACTGGCATACATATAGCTACATGAGGTACCTCCTATACCAAGTTGACCAAAAACCTTAATAGGTAAATTCAAGTTTGTAATATGTTAGAATTCCCTTGTAGTGTAACAGAGGATGAAATATGCTACTAAAGGTGAGAAGTGCTATGAGCCAAACAGATATAAAATCACAATTCATAAAAGGTCTACAACTGACAAAAATTGTGGAATTCAATTTAGAAAACAAGAACAGCAACAGAAACAAACCTAGGTATAGTTACAACCTAAATGATATTAAATAACTCACAGAACCATAACTCAACGATCAAGATTTGTTCTCTCTTTTTCCTAGAGTGTTTGCATGTCTTTGCCGGTCCTAAATGCACAAGGAATAGGACTACGGTAGAAAAACCATATGGGGGAACCAGGGATTCAAGATATCACTACTTGACAAGATCAGAAGAACAATTGAGGTTTAGATAATCCCACAGTTATTCATTTATCACTTATACCCAGTTCAATAGCGACACAATTAGTTTTCCAAGTTCTATGTTTCACAAAAAGAGTTATAGAATCTTCAATCACAATCAGTCATATAGAGCTGTTAGCTCAGCTGAACAAAATTTCGCCCATATACATGGCAAAAATTCTTCAAACACTCAAGTATATAATCGCAGAAGTAGAGAGAAGCCGGAGAAATTAGGAACCTTAATGCAGAGAAAGACCTGGTCCTGCCTCTGGAACTCGGCGAGGACCGATACGAGATCAGACTTGAGCAGGCGAGAGACATGGGAGCGAATGAAGCGATCGAGCCGAACCGGATGGGACTGTAGCCTCTTAAGCTCTTTGGCCACAATCAGGCCTTCTTTACCCATCTCCTTCTTTCGCCGCCATATTGACAAGCTAGGGCTTGACGCCGAAGTTGAGGCGGATGCAGCCGAACCAGAGAGGAATCGAAGGCTTTGATTTGGCGAATGTAATATCTTTGTGGATGAAGCTCTTCGCAGTGCATCCGCAGCAATACGCAGCGACATCGAATAAAGCTCCTCTTCCGACTATCCCAAGTTCCCAACACTGGTGAGACCGTGTTTGTTTCAATCTAACATGCGAATTTCTTACCTTGAGAGGAGGCAATGCGATAGATGAGGACTCGGGAGACTGGAAAGGGGATGTGGAGGGTACGTATAGCATTTCACCACAGACTAAGGGATGGTGTGGTCGCCGCCGGCGACTAAGATTGGGCAACACAAGCACCGCCGTCAGCAAGCCACTGTTGTTGGTTTAAGGCTTGATCTTTTTGCCCCCGTCGTTTAGGATTGAGCCTACAACGTCCGAAGTTGAAAAAAATTTTATATATATATATATATATATATATTATTTGATATTTATAGTTGGAAAAATAATTTTAAAAAATGCCGTAGAGATTATAAAATCCCAAATTAAGTATTTTTAAAAAAAAATGTGTTGATGTTTACAAATTAATTATTGGCAAAGCTTGCCAAAGTGTTATAATAAATCCTGATTTGTAATTTTACAATTTTCATAATCTATATTTAACATTTTTTTTTCATAATTTATAAGGCATAAAGTGTTAAAATACTTTAGAAGTTACCACGATGAAGTACCCTAAATTTTTTTGGTTTTAATATGCCCTCGAAATATAATTTCGTAGCAAATTTGATAAAATGTGATGATAAGGTGAACAAATCAAAATTTATGCGGCTGCCACACAAGTAAATTCGGTCAAACAAGATGATCTAATGATCCAAATTAGCATTGATTAATGGCCAAGGCATATTTGCTACAAAATTACACTTTAAGGGCATATTAGAATTGGGGGGGGGGGGATTTCGCATGCTAAACAACTTTTAGAATATTTTAATATCTTATCCCTAATCATAATAAGGAAAATGACAACTAAAAAAGTAGGAATATAAAAAAAAATCTAAATTGTCATTTTAAAATTAAGAGGAAATAACAAAAACACACATTATTAGGGGGAAAAAACCCAACCCCTTATTAGAGACCTTCCAAGGGTCGGTTTAGGGGTAAGCAAAACCGAACCATTACTGAAAACCAAACCGAACCGAACCGAATTTAATTTTGATTTTTTGGTTCGGTTATTTCGATTCTCGGTTACATATTCAGTTTTTATTTTTGTAATAATTCAGTTTCGGTGTTCGGTTCGGTTAGTAGAAAAAAATCTGTTATAACTGAAAAACCGAAATAAATATATTATATATTTATATTTAATAAATATTATTATAATAAATATATATGTGGGTTTATATGAACTCTTTAAATATATTTGTATTCAATAAATATGTTTATAATAAATATTATTGTAATAAACCACATTAAATGATGAAATATTTATTAATTACTGGTTGTAATTGCGTTTTATTATTATTATAATTTAAAATCACTTTCATATTTATATATTTCGGTTGATTCAGTTTCAGTTAGTTTGGTTATTGATTTCGGTTCGGTGTTTAAAATTTGTTCTATTCGGTTATTCAGTTAATTCGGTTATCACTGATAACTGAACCGAAAAACTGAATACTCACCCCCAGGTTGACCTCAGCGTCACCCTACCAGAGCACTGGCTCTAGCCGGCAGCGAGGTAGCTACTAAGGGGAATTTTTTATTAAAAGGGGGTGGAGGTAATATTACAGAGATTTTATAATTTTTTGGTGTCTTAGAGTCTTGAAAGTCTTGCTCACCAAGATATTTATTTTTACTGTGCTCTTGGATGTTTTTGGCAGCAGCCAACTCCTCCAAATATTTCACAAAATCATTTCCTAGAATACATGTATTAGCTTTACTTGTTATTCAAACCATATGAGTAATACAAATACAAAACAATGCTTCTTACCCATATAGTTGTTACCCTTTTTAAATGACATGGATTTGGTACATCCATGCAATCAGGCAAAAGAAAGCATCAACAAAGATCATAAGGGACTTATTTCAGGTGCCTTAAGAAATCAGAAGGCACAAGCTGCACAATGGAAAGGAGAAAGACTTTGTAATTGAAATATTAATATTTCTATACATTTTAACTAAACTACAGCCACTATCGGGTTTCTGTTGTAACATCTTTATTTTTATTTCTAAGATTTAATTATAACGAGAAAAAATTATTTCAAGGGAAATGAAATAGGGGGAAATGACAAAAAGATTGTAAAAATTGCAAAATCTTAAATAAGGTATTCTCACCAAAATATGTTGCTGTCAGAACCTGTTGAAAATGTAACGAATCTTAATTTGAGGTTCTGTAATTTTTACAGTGTTTATTTGTAATTTTCTCATGAAACAAAAAAAAAAGTTAAGGGTCAAAAATACACATGAAAAAGTTCACCCAACACCATCAACTTATTTGGACTCAAATCTACTAAATCCAAATTTAAAAAATATCTCAATAACGCTAGCGCCATTAAAATTAACAAACGTCTGTTTTTTTGTTTTTGCAACTCACGATTTTTTTTTAATAAAAATACCAAAATAATCTCAATTAAAATAAAAATTTTAAAAGTACAAAAATACTCATGAATTTATATTAAAAGTTTATCAAACACCATATAATTTTTATAAAAGTACCAAAATACTCCCAATATCTAAGGACTATTGTATTAGAGTTTATTAGAGATTATTAATTATATAAATTTTATAATTAAAATAATTTGTGTAAAAAAGTTTAAGCTTCAACAATAAGTTGTTTTTATAATTAAAATAATTTTTTTTGTGTGGGCATTATGCGTATCTTTTGAAAGTAAGTTATTTGTATCAACCGCATATACAGTTGTGTGTTTATCCTCTAGTAGTCTATATTATTAAATTTAATAGTCAACTTGAATTTTTTTTTATTTTTATGTTCATGTTCAATTCTTTGAAAGAATTTAAAACCACTTTTGATAATAAGACCTACAATATTTTCAATAAAAATATCAAAATATCCCCAGTTAAAAAAAAAAAAAAACTATCTCCTTCTGACCTCTCAATGATCCGCCCTCTTACAGGATGAATGTATATTCTTTATTTCAATCAAACTTTAGGATATTCTCATTTAATTTTTTGAGATTTAATTATAGTTTTTTAAATTGAATTAAAAATCCTAAAATATAAAATGAACACTAATTAAAGGATTAAAATGTAAATATTATTTTGTTGACTTTATTTAACAATTTTTTGAAATTAAGACACTTTGGGATAAGTAATAATGATGTTAAAATATAAAACATGGCGGGTCACAAAAATATTTAAGTATTATGTATAATATTTATGCTATTAAAATATTTGCAGCCACAACAATTAATATAATAACTATAACAATTGGCTGGTTTTTATTAAAAAATTAAAAAAAACAATTGGCTGATGGAGAAAAAATTTATTAAGAAACATTAATAATATTTTTTAACTATAAAGATTGGGAATATAAAAATTTATTATAATTAATAATTTCTAATACACTCTAATACAATAGCTTTTCAAGATTGGGATATTTTAGTACTTTCATTAAAAATTATATAGCGTTTGGTAAGTTTTTGGTATAAGTTCAAAGATATTTTTTATCCTTAACTGTTTTGTTTTAATCGGGATTATTTTGGCACTTTTACTACAAAAATCATGGGTCCCATAATCAGAAAAAAGGATGTTTGTTAATTTTAATGACGCTGGCCTTGTTGAGCTTGTTTTAACTTGGATTGGAAAATTTAAACGCAAAGAAAGTTTATAGTGTTAGATAAAATTTTGATAAATTTTTATAGGTATTTTTTACCCTTAACTGAAATAAAAAAAAAAAATGGACATGCCCCATTAAATGAAATGGAATCCCGATGGTTTATCTAAAAATTTTGGTTTAAATTACCCACAACACGTGGATATATTAAGATGCCTAAAATCAGACCGGATCAACCGGTTCAAAAGAAAACTGATGAATCTACCATTTGTTTGGTTCGGTTCCTAAAAAATAAAAACATCGAACATGTGTGAATCAGCAGGTAATAACCCAGTAAACCATTGGGTTGAGTTGGCTACTACAGTTATTTTAAAATGAAAAAAAAAAAAACACAAATCAGTTTCGACTCACTAGTGCGTGCCCGGAATTGGAAACTTGCTCATCACTCTTCCATTACTACGGGTATTCAAGGCCGGCCCGTCCCGGTCTTATTGGGATGGGGCAGATCCGTTCCGAAATTTTTCGGGACAGGACAAAAAAGGGACTGGGATGGGACAGGACACGGGATGGAGTTGTCCCGTCCCGGTTCTTTTTTTTTTTTAATTTTTTTAATTTTTTATCCTATTTATATAATATCATTTTTTTTATATTTTTTAAGATTTGAGACTATTGTATGGAACTATGGATATATTTATTTAGAGTTTTTATATTTGTTAATGATTTGAGATTATTGATGATTAGAATTTTTAGCAAGTTTTTATTGTGTTAAAAGCTTTTGTTTAGAGTTTTTAATGACTATTATATGTAATATTTTGAGCTTTTGTTTAAGAGTGTCCAAACAAATAAAAAGATGTTTTTATAAGATTTAAGCTCAAAAAAATATAATTAAAAAAAATCAGATTTTTTTAAAAAAATTAAAAAAAATTAAAAAAATATTTTCGGAACGTTCCGGTCCCGGTCTCGGATCCGTCCCGTCCTGATTGGGATCGAGACAACCCTGGGACGGGCCGGGACACGGGACAGAAAATCTGTCCCGTTACTGTTCATCGGGACGGAACCAAGACGGGCCTGTCCCGGTCCCGATCCGTCCCGTGAACAGCCCTATCCATTACGATCAGCGGGCTCACTTCCACTGGACCGCTGTTAGAGATGCTTCGATTTTTTTGAGAGGGGGGGACAGTATCTGATATGATATTTTATAAATATAATTAAATGATTAAAATTATCTTATATTAAAAGATTTATTAACAGGATGTGACTTGGTAATGATAGCTACAAATGATAAGAAATATACTAGTAAAGATAGGTTATTTATTAACAAGTTGTGAACTGATAATAATAAATATTAAACAAATAATGATAAAAAATATACTTACAATGACAAATTTGAAAGC